TACCACTTAGGGAGCTTTATTATTGGGGAGCATAGAGATGATGATGATGATGATGACGACGACAATGATAATACATGTTTACCTGTGAAGTACAGTATTTGTGTGATTTCAGTGGAGCTACACTTCATAGTAAGTTTAGAAATTAGGCCCAATGAGAAACGTTTAGAACTTATACTTTAAGGGTATAATCCTAGGCAAACGTACAAGCTGGCTGGGACATCTTAGGAGTTGTAGGGGGTGTTTTTCAGTCTAAACGTGCTTATGATTGCATCTCAGGTTAATGAAGATGCTTGACTGTGCTTGAGCTGCTAGATATCTTTATTTAAGACCTTGCTTGAGATTTTAGATATATGTCTCAGTATCTCAGAATTTAAGTAGAATTATACTTTGGTATACTGGGTTGTATCAGTGGGTCTACTCTAGGTGAGATGAACATGGGCTAGAAATCCATTTCCTTATTGCATTTAACCCCACCCCTTTTCTTGAATAACTCAAGATTATTAACATCATTCTACCCCCACATCTCTATTTTACCTTCTGAAAACTGTGAGATAGGTTAGGCTGAGAAATGGTGTTCAAGGTCATAATGAGCTTTCTGGCAATTTTAGCACATGTCTTTCTAGTCCTGGGTGGATATGTTTTCATTTCTAGTGCATTTAACAGCATTATTTGTTAACATGTGTTAGTGCAAATCTTAGAATATTTTAGTGCCCTGTATGTTTTTTTCTTGGTGGTAGTAGTTGCTGCTACTGCGGTGATGGCAGCAATAAGAGTAAACTAGGAAAGAACTAAATCTCTCTCTCTCAGATCTTTAGAGATTGGTAGACATGAATGGTTAAACCTGATATATGACACAGGAACTTTTTCCTGACAACTAATTTAGCTTTCTCCTCCTGACCCTGTTCTATACCAAATGCTCTTAATTGGCTTGAACAGGATCTGGTAAGCTTTGTATAGACAAGAGTGCCTATTGTTTTCTGTCCCTTGTTTGCTCTACCCTTTCCACATTGCTGCTCATAAGTACAGGAGTTCGTTAGAATTTTGTCTAGAATTTTAGAGTTGCAGTACTAGTTAGAATTCATAAAAAAGGAGAGGAGCTACTAACTGTGGCTATTCCAATGTCTGCATAGATCCTGCCTTATAACATATGTGTTTGGTGTTTTGTCACTAAACTCAAGTTCTGGAGTAAAGAATCCTCCTGATTGTAACTCTGAGTATTGTTGGGCCCTCCATAGAATGACTGATCTTGTATGCCACTCTGTGGTGAGTCAAGGGCTGGATTTCAGGCCTAACTATTGATTTGCTGGCACTGAGGGATTTAAATAGGCCTTCATATCATTTTTCACATGGGTGGTTTTCTGAAGGTTAATTGAGCAGTCAGTGTGAATTTTGTGGTTTATGGGGGGGGGGGGGAATGGCATTTTTTTAGTAGTTCCCACCTGAATGGACAAAAATAGGTGGGTCTCCAGCAGAGACATTAGCATTTGAAAAGCTACTCCAAATGTCTGGGATTTCCCGAGAGAAGGAGTCTGGGCAGCAAAACAGGGATAGATCAGCATAGAATTGAGTTAGCATTTGACATGCAGAATATTGTGACAGAAAGACAGACCTCAAGAATGAGAGCCTTTGTGGCTTTGTTACATTTGGAGAACTGTGACTGTGAGGTATACATCATTTAGGACACAATAGTGTACATCTACAAAACATCCTACAACTCAACAGTAGTATGCTCTAGCCAGGGGGATGTTGGGAATTGTAGGCTTGCTTCTGTCTAAAGATGCATAGGATTGCATCAATAGTTAATCAGCAGAATGTAATAATGGTCTGTCTGACTGGAAAAAGCCAGGAGTTGAAATAATGAGAATTAAGTTGCATTTGAATGCTGTGGAACAACTGCATTTAGTTCTACTCTATGCAAAGCTTTAAATTTGCCCAGAGTCTGAGCATACCAGTTGTTAAGGACTAGTGACAAGGATTCCTTTTTGCATTTTGCAAGTAATAGAACTCGATAATTTTATTGAGCTCCAAGTAACATTTATTATTCTTTTCTGCTTGTTTAATTCAGTGACATTTCCTTTACATATATCAGCACTTGCTTCTTTTCACACAATTTTTTGGCCAAGGTGTTTCAGAGCTTGATGATCATAAAACTAAAACAAATGACCCTAAGAGAGAGTTTAGCAAAAAGGTGACACCTTCTCTTACCCCCCTCTTCTAAATATATATATATATTAAGTGGACTTGGAAACCAAATGTCATTATTTTATTCTCACTCCGTTAGACCATGGCAATGTGGACCCTTCTGTCTTCCCATCTGTCTGTCCTTCCTTTCTTACTCCCTCCTTCCTCCCTTTCTTTTTCTCCCTCCCTCCCTCCCTTCAGGTTGTAGAAATTTTAAGTTCTTTCAAGATTTATGTATTCTCTCTATATTTATGTACTCTCTATTTCTGCTGTTGTATGTTTTGGTGTCAGGATCTTGGACAAGAGTGATTATTACTGTGTAAGCTCAATTTTTGTTCTAATTTTACTTTTAAGTTTTGAACAGGTATTAACCTCTTGAGTTAGACTTAGTGTGATGGTGTTTCTGACTTCTTACTATGACAGAATTTCTGTCTTCCTAATATGATAGAACTTCTAGGTAGCTTTGAAAAAAGGGAAAAATCAAATACAGCTTTAAAAATAGAGTTATAGTTAAACAGTGAGGACATCTGGTGGATGATCAAAGTTACTACAGGACACAAATTAAATTGAGTAGCCTAACCTATTAACCAATCAGAGTTTAAGAACAAAAGAATAACTTTTGATCACACACTCACACTTGCTGAAATGGTAGATCTATATAAAATGTCCTCAGTTGTGTTGAAAATTGATGGTTTATCAAATCAATAAAATCAGCAAACTTCCTCTCCTCCATTTAGGATTTGATCAGAAATTAGCAACATTACTGGAAAACATTTTTAAAACCTTGCTTAAAATTAAATATTACCTCATAATTTTTCATTTATAAATTCTTTATTTTCCTCATAATCCTACCTATATATTTCTATTCTATATGTTGTGCCTCTTGGGAATTGTAGTGTAGAGGTACAAGATGCATTTCATAGGAACAAAGGAAGATCTTCAGTTGATTAGGCTGGTCTATTGACAAAGTGTGCATGATATAGCAATCCATTGTGCATTAGTAGCTATGGTGTACTGTCATCTGAAAAACCCCAGAACAAGCCATGGAGCATCAGGGTGGCTTGTTACTCCAGGACACAGTCTGGGTTTGACTGACAAAGACACCCACCATGGCTAGCTATCCACAGTGGTGCAGACCCCATCATAACCATATTCTGACCTGTTTCATGTAATCACCTTTGACATATTTAAGCCATGGTAAATTGTGGTACCTGTGAGTGTCAAATTAACAATTCTAGTCCCCCACAGCTTCTCATGCCATTTGAAAATCAGGTCATAGTTCTTAGTGATCTGTTAACCACCTCAATGAGCCACCTGTGCTGTAGTGACACTCACAGGGTAGTTAAAAGTTCACCATGATGGCTTAAGGCAATACAGGATGAGGGTGGGATCAAAGACAGCCTATAAATATTCTAAATAAATAAATAGAGGGTGGGGAGAGAAGTTACACAGTCACAAAAAATCATGTTGCTGCCATTGATTGTGATGATATCCTGTGCCGATATTCCTAGACCCAGTCAGGCAGGGCTGGATCATGATAAGCTCTGGGACCAGTCATCTTTATTGAGCCCTCCACTGTCCCCCCAATATTGTACTCACACATAAAAAATTTACATGTGTACCTACCTAACCAGCACACAGGCACAGGCACAGAAACACACGTTAAAGTACTCACTGCCTTAAACGGTCTCTCCCTCCCTCCCTCCCTCCTTCCCTCTTCCTCACAAAACAAAATAGTAGTAGCAGTAGGTAGCCAGAAGCCACCTAAGGATGAGCGTCAAGTTGCAGCAGCTTCATTGACTGAGACTGGTTTTGAACTGTTTCATGGATGCTGTTGCTCCTGCCCTGTAATTATTAATTCTTTGTTTTGCCAATCTATCCTAATATGCATTTTTGTAGTATTTTGTCTTCAGTTATTTGAAGGGAGGTTTTTTGTTTTTTTTTTAAATAGAGATACACAGTTAATCCCATTCTTACTGTTTTGAACATAAATGCACATTGGTAGTGACTAGTGCTTAACCCATATTTTCTTTTCTTGAATGAATTGTTATTTATTATTTTGGTGACATAACCTGCAAACTGAAGGGACAATTGGGAGAAACCTCCCAAAAGATTAAATTTAGACATTTCAAGTCAAGTTTAATTATGCATAAGCCTATTTGTCCTAATCACACAACTGACTTTAGAGAGATAGGAGTATATTTTCTCTGTAAAGACAAAAAACACAAACATATCCAAACATAATTTACAATTAAAACAAATAATTTGTCCCACTGCATCATGCTACCACAATGCCCACATCTGCACATAATAATGCTGTGATTTTTGGCTACTGTATCCATTCCCATCCCCAAGAGCACATACGTGCGTCATAGGTAGATAAAACTAACCAGGAAGGGTTAGTTTATGATGACATTTGAACTGAAGGTCCTGGTTTGCTGTTCCCTGCTGGTACTTGGTGAGGAAATATTTTCTGACTAGACCATTATCTATCAGGCCATCTAGACCATATATCTGACATGAATGAGACATTCACTTTATTTAAGAAAAAATGACCACTACACAGAAATTGATGCAATATGTATCAGCTTTTACCTGTCAGAATTCAGATACTGGATGGGCTTGAACAAACCCTTTTGCTTCTTATACATTACATCTTTGTTAGCATTACAGATGGCTAAAGTTAAAAGAAAACGTTTAAATAGTGGTTTTAGCTTTTTATGGCTTTATCATTTGCTGAATTCTTCCTGCTTTCCATCCTTCATCCTTTTGAAGAGTAGAAATACATAGTTCACAATTCTCTTCATTCTCTCCAACAGAAAATACATTTTGTAGTGGTGATCATGTATCATGGCATAGTCCATTGGACAACAGCGAGTCTAGGATCCAGCATATGCTGCTGACTGAAGATCCGCAAATGCAACCAGTTCAGACACCATTTGGAGTTGTTACCTTTCTTCAGGTATTATAACAGAATAACTTTTTCTGGTCATTGCTTGCAAGTAATAATGTAACATTTACGCAAATCAACATGTTGGACTACTATGACATTTTACACTGCTAGATATTTTATTTTTATTTATTTATTTTATTTATTTTTCGATTTATATCCTGCCTTTTTCCTACAAAGGGCTCAAGGCAGCTTACATCTCCTCAGCCATCTTATCCCCACAACAACAACCCTGTGAGGTAGGTTGGGCTGGGAGTCTGTGACTGGCCCAAAGTCACCCAGTGGTCTCCATGGCTGAGCGCGGACTCGAACCCAGGTCGCCTGAGTCCCAGTCCCATGCTCTTAACCACTACGCCACACTGGCTCTCTAAATATTTGAAAGTATTTAGAGTATGATACTTGGAATTTTCCTTGAAATTAAATGATAGGGAGTGCTAGAAGACATGTAAAAGTTTGCTATGGAAAAAGGCAAACTGAGAATGTTTATTATGCATTCTGGCAGCATTTTAGGTCAGTCTAGCTATCCCTGTCAAATTCTAATTGTATCTATACATACATCTAATGTTATCTCACATTGGAAACCAGATAAAAGCCTTCCAGACTGTCTGGAATTAAGTACTGTCTAGGTTTTGTATTTCCCTGTTTTTGTCAACTAAACTGCGTGCAGGTTTGCAGCATTCATGAAGTTGGATTTCATGGATTTTGCTTTCCAGGACCCCTTTTCTCCTACATGATGACCTGTGAGCCCTTGCCTTAAGTACTGTAATGAGATCCTTCAGGTGATATTAGACTGTTCAGGAAACCTCAGAGCTATACAGCATGATGCTCAAAGAACAATGCAAGGCAGCACTTTCTATATCATTCAAATATGTCCTGTAATTTTTTAAATAGACAATGAATAAGCCAGTCAGTAGAGAAGAAGACCTAATTCACATGAGGTCAACAGCCCATGGTTGACAAACAGTGGGTTGCTGAAAACGTAGCAGGATTAAGTGTTTCCCAAGAGCCCAGGGTTGCAGATTGAGATGTCCCTGGATTGTTGGTTGTGGTGGACATCTGTGCAAGAACATGGGCCTTCTTGTAGTTGAACCTGATGGCCTAATGGGCCTCTTCCAACTCTACTATCCTATGAACATAAGAAAAGCCATGTCAGATCAGACCAAAGGTCCATCTAGTCCAGCACTCTGTACATCTGATGGGAAACTAGCTTCCCACAGGACCCCTCAAGCAGAATGGGTGCAAGACCTCTGCCTGCCCAAGCTCCTCAACACCTGGTGTATGCAGGTATGCCAACTCTGTTAAAGGAGATAGCACATAACCAGCAAGGCTAGTAGCTACTGATATCCTCCTCCCTCATGAATCTGTCCAGTCTCTTTTTAAAAGCATCCAGATTGGTGGCCATCACAACTTCCTGTGGCAGTGAATTCCATAGTTTATCTGTCCTAAAACTCCCACCCATCAGCTTCATGGGATGTGACCCCCGGTTCAAGTTGTTATGAGAGAAGGAGAAAAATCTCTCCCTCTCTCTACTTTCTCTGCACCATACATTATTTTAAACACCTCTGTCATGTTTCCCTTTAGTTGCATCTTTTCTAAGCTGAACAGTGCCAGTTGCTGCTCCAACCCCCTAATCAATTTTGTTTGCCTTCTTCACAGCAGCTGAGCACTGGGCCAGCATTTTCATCAAGCATCAAGCCACTACTCCAAGATCCCTTTCTTGCTTAGTCACTGCTAGTTCAGATCCCATCAGTGGGATATCTTGCTCCAACATGCATTAGTCTACACTTGCTTAGATTGAACTGCATTTGCCATTTTGATGTCAATTCGCCTACTTGGAGAGAACCCTTTGGAGCTCCTCACAAGTCCTTTTGGTTTTAACCACCAGCAAACTTGGCCACCTCAGTTCTTACTCCTTACTCCTAATTCCAGAACATTTATGAACAGGTTGAAAAGCAGTGGTCTACAATTCTATGATTTGTTCCTGTTAATTTTCAACAACCAGCAACTTTTCCGAATTAATTTAGCCTCTTTTGTTTTCTTAAGGATTTGTTTCCTTAGAAGGCTGTCATTCAGCCCTCTCAAAGCAGCTTATAGTTTAAAATAGTCCACGATGCAGCTATTTAAAACCAAAAGTAAAGATTATTAAGCAGTAACAGTTAAAATTTTGTCAACTTCAAGTTAATCAGGTAAAAGCAGATCTCCAAGGCAGTATTTACTGATCTGACCTAATGTAGTATTTCTTTGTTCCATTGCATTGGCAAACTTTTGTTTACCCTCAGAATAGAAGTATGGTATCAATTGCACCATTGTATCACTCCTGTTATTCCAAACAAGATAAGCTACTCAGCAAATGGATGGGAGGGCTTGCAAGCACCTGATTGTTGCTACATTTATGTGATTTTGTTGAAAAGCTGAACTTTCAAAATAAACAGAAGGTTTTTTTGTAACTGTGCCCTTGAACCTATTCATTTTACTAGGTAGAAATGGAGTCTTTTATGAATTTAGACTACAGTGTAGAGTTTTATCTTGGTAAGTGGAAATGTATACTATCTCTATTTGTTTTTGGTCTGTTTAATCTAGATTGTTGGGGTATGTACAGAGGAGCTTCATGCTGCACAGCAGTGGAATGGACAGGGTATATTAGAATTGCTTCGGACTGTATCTTTGTAAGTATAGTCTCCAGCTGACTTATAAACTGTTGTAAGCATTTATGAAATAATATGTGATAAGGTAAACACAATCATACTTTTTAAGATGAGACATTCTGTAATTAGAATAAATTGTCACTAGGAATGTTTGTATATATTGGCTTGATTTATTCTGATGTTATAGTATTCCTTGCATTTTCAATCAAAGCATCCTTGAATTTGCTGTGTTGCTGTGAATCACAAAACAGCTGAGGACCATTCTCTTCTACTACCACCTGCATGTGTATTTGCTTGTCTAAGGTCAACAAATTTAGGTTTGATTAGTCTTGAAACACAAAAGGCCCTTTTTTGGTTTGGTTTCCAAATTGCAATATATTAGTAATGTCTCCTTCTTTACCAATTACCCATCATAGTGAAAATTCCCTGAGTTGTTTAACCTAAGAATTATAGGGAGGAGGAATGCATGTAAATTACACATTTGTCATTTCTGTTTTTAATTAACCTAGGAATGTGCCTTGGTTGTTTCACGACATGCAAACTCATAAACTCTTGAGTTACTTAGTGGTTGAACAACTCAGAGCTAACTTACCAACAAATCATGGGTTAATTCTTGGTTGTTCAATCCTTAAGCAGCCCAGAGTTTCCAGGCATGTACATTGCAAAACAATGCAGTAATGGGCATTTCTGGATTGTTAAAAATGGAAGCAGTGGGCTCATCCATCACAATTGCTGCTGTGAAAGCCACATTAGTTTAATAGTCCACTGTTTATTCAACAAGTATTTGATATGTATTTTCCTTATTTGTTTTATTACTCTGGGTCTCTTATTGTTTTATGTGTTGACTTTTGCTATTTTAATTGCCAGTTTTTGTTTATGTAAGTCATATTGAGTGATTGCATGTTGAAACTAGAAAGTGAGAAATCCTAAGAAAATGAGTGATATATTGAATTACAATGGCAAAATGTTAGGATAACTGGATGGTCTTTAGATACCCTTTGTATTAGAAATTCTTATGATGATATTTGGCCAATTGTAGTTTCTCCCTTTAAAATGCAGGTGCTATTTTTAGTCACGTGTTCTAGGAAACTATGTATTGTGAAGTGCTTAGGCTCTTGTTTAATTCAACATGCGACCCCCAAGTATTAATCACAGAACTTGCAGCTCTAGGGACTATAGCTTTCATTCGAAGCCACTCCATATGAGGATTATCTGAAGAAGACTGGTCATGTAACAGGCGCAATTTAATTCTAAACTATCCTGCTATTGTAGGGAGTTGAATTACATTGCTTTTGCGTTTTCCCCCAATGCTCTAATTGTATACTTGGACATGAAGAGGATTTGCTAATTGTACTCTGTTAAATATCAAAATGAGGAACAATTTATGCTTTGAAAATGCAATTCCAATCCATGAACACTAATATATTCTTATGTCTCTTCTTGACATTGCAAAGATTTTATATGCTTGCTGTATGCCTTAGTTTTTCCAAATATTTATTTTATTATTTGTTATTCATTTGGAGCATTTTTATCCCATCCTTTATACAAATCTCAGGATGCCAAGACAAACAGTAGTGGCAACATTTAATAGAAAATAAATTTAATAAAGCTAATATTAAATCACAATTAATTCTTAAAATACAGGGAAAATTAAAAGGCTTTGGCCTGGTGCCAGAATGCATAAGTGGTTGGCACCAGGTGCATCTCTCTGAGGAGCAGGTTCCAGAGCTGGGGCGCTACCACAGAAAAGACCTGGGTAGCCACTGTTCTGATCTGCAAAGAGGACTCCTGAAGAAGGACCTCAGACCTGGATCTTAGGGGACAGGCAGGTGTATAATATCTAGAACAGTCCTGACAGGGTCTGGTTTCTTTCTTCTATAGTACATGGGAAAATAGCACAAATTATTCTTCAGGTGTAAATAGACAGAGAGAGGCTTAACAGTAATTAAGTATTTTAAATTACATGGAGAAGTTTCAATTATTCATCCACAGCACCAAATTTCTTCTTATATATGCTAAAATAATAGAAAACCTAGAAATCTTGGGGTAGTGGGAATAATGCTAACTTTTCTTTTGTGTTTTATAGAGCAGGAGGCCCATGGTTAATAACAGACATGCGACGTGGGGAGACAATATTTGAAATCGATCCACACCTCCAAGTATGTGTTTAAATACTCAGTCCTTTGGTCCTCTGTGATAACTGAGATCACCACTGGAAGCTGCCAGGGCTTGTATTGGGAGCCTTTGGGACTCATTGCCTAGAGGCAATGCTTGTAGACAACCAATGGCCCAATTTAGAAATGTGGCTAGCTTCACTGAGTGCTTCTATTGAGTAACTGGGTCACAGAGAACCCTTTTCTATCACCAAGGCTTTCATACTGAACCTTTCAGGAGCAGAAAGAGAAGTTGTTTCCCCTGCTAATAGTTTCTCCAAATTTACAAAGTCTGTACGGGAAATGTGTTTCTATGTCTTTAGCAGATTTACAGAAGTGTAATGCAAGTCAGATTATGTGGTGGGATAATCATAGCCTGCTAAAATTGACCTGTATGACCATTGACAGTGCTGGAGCATTATATGTTAATATTTCTGTAGCATGCCAAGTGTCCAAGCGCATTTCTTGAGTATAACACAGAGAGACAGACAGAGTGAGTGAGTGAGTGTGTGTGTTCGCTTGTGTGTTTGCATATGAAAGGAAAACCTGAATGAGTGTTTTTTTTCTTCCCTGTGTGTGTGTTTTACATCTAAATGCTGCAGCTGTTCCTCCTTGTATTAACAAGCCCCCCCCCCACAGATTTGGCTTAACAGCATCATCTGGTGGTGAATGTTGGAATCCAACATAAATAATTTCCCTTAGTTGCTTTATCAAAATTAATACTTTGCTAACAAAAATTGAAATGTAAAATTCCTATGTTACATTCAGTGTGTAAAATGCAGCAGTTAATTCTTTGTTTTTCTTAGGTAACACTAAGCACTATGCACATGATTTCATGTGAAGCATATTAAGCAAATAAACCCTTAGAGATGTATTAAAACTTATTCTTGCAACACTGTTTGCAAAATTTAATTTGGAATTAAAAGCTGTGACTCCATTCATACATATTGATGTGGTTCACATAACAGCACAAGCCAACTACAGTGAGTTGTTGTGTCTTCCAAATCTGGCACACATAGCTTAGGGTTGCTTAATTTTCAGAACAGCCCATGGTTTGTTCTAAGTTATCATACCCACAATGGATTGCCATGTCATCTGAACCTGGTTGACTGATTTTTGTTGAAAAGTGCTACCAAGTCCTTGGGCAAAAGCTGTTCCTCTTCTCCTTGTGAGAGATCTTGTTATCCAAAGTACGCCTAGCAACATAATATACTGCAACAGCTTTTGTGTTCCTTCCTTCCTTGTCAGATTCCTGCCTCTCCTCCTGCAGTTTTTTTGCTAGATCACTTGCTAACGAAGGTGTTTTTTCTTGCCCATGTGTGCCAGGTTGAAAGAGCTTGTTGTTCAGTTACCTGCAGTGCAGAAAGTGCTTGCTGTTCTATCAGAATCAAATGTGTCTTCAAGTCATCCTTCCTTCACCCCCATAGCAATGTTTTCCAATGGATTCACCTAGGGAAAAAGCTTTTATTTAATTGAAAAAATTATAACATACAGATTTGAAATGTCATGTTGTATGATCCCTTAATACAACATCATGTGTAAAATTGCTTCATATTTGTGAAATGGATGTTATTGTTTTGTGTCCTCAAGTCATCTCTGGCTTATGGCAACCCTATGAATGAACGCCTTGCAAAATATCCTGTCCATGACAGTTCTATTGAGCTTTTCCAAGTTTGAGGCTGTGCCTTCCTTTATGGATTCAGTCCATCTCATATTTGGTCTTCCCATTTGTCTTCTGCCTTTGACTTTCCTTAGCGTGATTGTCCTCCCCAGTGACTCTCGTTTTTGCATGATGTGTCTGAAATATGACAGCCTCAGTTTTGTCATTTTTGCTTCAAGGAAAAGCTCTGGCTTGATTTGATCTAGGACCACTTGTTTGTCTTTCTGACAGTCCAGGGTATTTGCAAAGCTCTCCTCCAGCACCCTGTTTCAAGCACATCTATTTTCTTCCTGTCAGCTTTCTTCACTGTCAGCTTTCTTCCTGTCAGCTTTCACACCCAAGAGCAACCCTGAATGTGGAGTCAGAATCTTTTCAGAAAGGAAGGGAAAGAGGGGAAATTTCACTTTGGATTCAACTCTATAATCATTGTTTAGATATGATAATGTGGAAATTCACATCAGTTTTTTAAAGGTGGGGCAGACCTTATACAAACTTAAACAAACTCCCTCAGTTCTGCCCTTGGTGCGATATCTTCAGAGATATAGCACATATTTTTCATGAGCTCTTCTTCACTTAGGTCATAAAAGTGCAGGATAAAAGAAAGATCATGGGGTTTCCATGAACTAGAGTGTCACTGGCCCTGGATTCCTCACATGTGTGCATTTTAAGCTTCTCTTGAACAAAGAGAAGAGTAACTATACATGCTTCTATAGCGTGGTCCACAGGTTCTTGTGGACTCCAAAATAAGATTTATATAATGTTCATACACAGTTTACACTGAGAACCCAGGACACCGCTATCTTCTAGAACTCTCTTTTGGCAGACTATCTAGTCATAGGGAGAGTCTTCATTAATGCTGCTCCTTGCCTACCTCATTCTCATAAACCAGGGATTTGCTGTTCAACCATGGCTTATGGCACCACACCAGGATTCAGAGATAGCCAAACAGAAAAGCTTTGATTATTACACTCATGCTGTTGAGTACATTTTGGCCACTTAAAAGGCATGGTAACACTTCACTCCATCTACACAGTTCTGGATGTGGAGGAAAACCTAGTACCAGATAGGATTTTCACATGCTATATCTGGCATAGCATCTATAAACCAGAGGAAGGGATGTACTCCTAATGGAGAATCCCCAAGCCACCAGGACCAGGGACTGAAAAGAAAGTTGTTGCAATTGGTGGTAGGGTGACTAAGCTTTTGCCACTTCCCTTGAATGCAGAATCTGATTCAGTGACTTTGGAAGAAACTGGAAATATTTGTTCACCTTTATCTTACTGGATGTGACCCATCTGTGTTCCATCTCTAAGAAGGAGTCGCAGCTACAGAAATGCCTTCCCTATCAGGCTGAGTTATATCTGTTAGAAAAATGCAGTCTGCCCCCCCCCCCCGCCCACCATATAAGCATCCCTTCCATATAAGCACCTGTGAAGCACAGAATTACCCCATATATCCACAAGCCTCTCAGAAACTTGATTTCTGTAATCACACCCTACCCCACAAGCTCAGGGCCTTGCATTTCCCATTTAGAGCCACCCAGCCACCCATCAGCATCTGTACAAGCAATGTGTAATAGTGACTTCCAAAATAAAAGGTTTATAGCTGTTCATAGGGCAGGATCGGAAGCTGCCACAAGCTGTTGCTTCTCAGTAAGAATCTTCTCTAGTGTTACAATACAATGTGGTCTTCTTGGAGGAAAATTAGACTGGTACAGTTATAGGATGTTATAGCAGGAGAGGAGATAGGGAGGCTCCAGTAGAAAAACTGCTTGAGAAGTCAGGCCACAGAGTGGGGAAAAACTTGGAGAAGTGAACTCAAAGAGATTTCCATGTTTGAAGCAACAAAGGAAGGGAAAAAGGCTTTGCTAATAGGCCAGGCCAAGGGGAGAGGGGACAGCTGCAACACAAAACCCTACCCAGGGAGTTGGAGAGCAGGAGGGAGGAGAAGCTTCAGAGAAGGAAATTGGATAAAAGAAACAAGCAGAACAGGCAGGCAAAGGTAGCAGTGTGCTCATAAAAAGCACAATAGGATTTGAAAAGGTTTACAGCTCTTGTTAGAAATATAAGCAATTACCAGCAGGTACAGGGTGGAGGAGGGATGGGAAAACATTCTGATGGGAACCAGTAAATTCAAAACATGCCCTGAACATTTAGTGGATCAATAGTAAAAAGGCTGCTGATGTAGCAAGGGAACAAGATATCACAGGATGTGAATTCTGCTACAGAGATGCCTGGGATACGTGCCAGAGCTGGCTGGAAGACTGAGAGGGAAGGAGGGGCAGAACAAGCCATGGCAAGCCCAGTGTTCTGTTGGGCATAACATGGGTTGTTACACGAACAGCCCATACTGCATAGCTTATTCACAGCATAGTTTAGTGTTTACCTGCCCAGTAAATAATGACTGGTGGTCTAATCCAGTGCATGCCTATCTGAAAGACTGTGTTCAGTGGAACAGGCTTACAGCCTGATTCTCATATCTTATTTCTTCAGGTGCTGTAGAAGAAAATATTTCAGCCCTTTGTTTTTTGGGTGATGACTGCTTATACAATCTAGGAAAATAAACTGCAGGAGACTCCAGTTCCTGTGGTGGCAAAGTTGGGAACATAGTCTCAAAATATGTATCTGTTTTGGATCTTTTTAAGCAGGACAGAGTTGATAAAGGGATTGAGACAGATGGCTCAAACCTGAGTGGTGTCAGTGCTAAATGTGCCTGGGATGATCTTAGCCGGCCACCAGAGGATGATGAAGACAGTAGAAGCATCTGCATTGGCACACATCCACGACGTTTGTCTGGTAAAGGTAAGAAAACACCTGACTGAGTCACTAGAAGTTTGTCTTCTCAGCATCATAATCCAGTATATGCATTAGTAGAGCTAGTCTCAAAAAAAGTTAAGTTGTCAATATTTCAGATTTGGAGCTGATATCAGACTGCATTTTCACTACAACCCTTCTGTCATGTTTCCTTATAAAACTGATAGTAGAAGATAGGCCTTCATCACAAACACAATAAATATGTGCTTGTGCACATATTGGTTAATTTGTTTTATTCAAACCATTTATAACAGGGGTCTCAAACTCAACTTACCTGGGGGCCGCTGGAAGTAGAGTCTGGGTGAGGCTGGGCCACATCAAGTATTCCACCACCGCGGTGGTGGTGGGCCGCTCATCCCGCGGCCGGCCCGGGCGCAGCCGGCACTTTGAAGGCCGCAGGGCCCCTCCCCCGTGCCCCGTCCGTCCCGGCAGTTGGCCTGCGGGCTGCGAGTTTGAGACCCCTGATTTATAACCTGTCTTCTACTGCCAGGTCTTCAATGCAGCTATGTAGATACCATGTAATAGTACCAAACACTGTGAAACCTGTAAGCAAAACTTCATACAGACATAAATTCTACAAACTTCATGTAGAATTTCTTTTAGATAGAAGTACTAAAGTTCTGTTAAGATAATGAAGGTTAGGTAACTCAGACCAATAAAATGTCACATGTGTATATATTAAACATTTTCTTGAGGTTCAAGAGGATATTTTTATCCTTTTAATATTTTTCCACTTGAATTCTCAGGCTCCCATAATTTCAGATATGTACAGTTAGTTAAAAGTTGAAATTCAAGATGCTTCTGCCACCACCGCCACCACCACCACTATTTTCTTCTCGTCCCTAGTTATGATATTTTTTAAAGTTTAACAATTATGAGAAATGTGTTTTCAAAAATAAATTGAAACCTCTGTTGCTCATTAGCAGAGTGTTATGGTAGGTTGATGCTTTATGTGGTCTACATTAAGTTTCTTTTTGCTCTTTCATGAACAAGCTTACTTCATCTGGCACTTGAATGTTTTCCTGTATCAGCTTTACCAAAGTCAAAAAAATCCACAAATTTTAAATGTATATTACAATCTGTTAAAAGAATAATCTTGGAGCCATATTGCCTGTAGGTGAGTCTAGAGGAAGCAGAGGGGAAAACCTTGGCCATTTCCACCCTTTGGAATGGCACAGAAATAGGAAGAAGAGGATTTGACAAAGATCCTTGCTTTCCACAAGGGCCTCTGCTGAATATTGGCGCTTTCCAAGGGTGCAAGTGATATGGTGAGCTGGTATCGGGAGCAGTCTCGAAATTATCTCTGTTTTCTGCTTATTTTCTCTGCTTTTAGATTATTGCTAAAATTGGAGATGAATGGCAGATTCCCCTTTGCTCAATGGCTTTTTGAAGGTAGGGGTGAGACCTGTAGAGGAATGCTGAACCCACCACAGACTGCATTGGGTTCCAGCATGGATGAAATTAGATCAAGGTTACCCTCTCCCATTTTAAACCATTGCTTGGTGGATTATGAATGAGTTATAGAGTTGTGCTTTTCTTTATGCTCAAGTCAGCAAACTATGATTAGCACTTTTCCCCCAAGTCAGAATTGCATAGTTTCTGCAAACCATCCTTTCTGATTGTGATTTGGATTGAAGAGTAAACACCAACTATAGTTGGCTGGTTTACCACAATAAGCTGTGGTTCATGCTAAGCAAAAAACAGGGAAACCATATAAGAGAAAGGAAGGAGTATGCAGTCGCTTCCTTATCTTTCAGGATATAATTTGAAGGTTCATCTGAATTAAATTTAACTGTTTTAATTGCTGTCATTTCAGATACAGAGCAAATTCGAGAAACTCTGCGAAGGGGACTTGAGATTAACAGCAAACCTGTCCTGCCACCAATTAGTGCTCAGAGACAGAATGGGCTGAACAATGACAGAGCACCGTAAGTTTAGTTTTGCCTTTAGTTACTGAGAATACTGTTTCTAATATTGACTTGGGAATTAATTAGCGGTAAACTTAATTTAATATCACCACCATAATATTTATTTATTCAATAATTTTACATGTACATCTATATTAGAAAGATAAATGTACACTCCATACTTCAAATCTAAAAAAAAAACCAAAAAACAGAAAGGGGAAATACAAGGGTGTGTGCCTGCATACTGGTATGCTGTAGAGCTTGTTCAGAATTTCTGAGCGTCAATCAAGATTTATATGGTATGTAATGGATATTTAAGTAATCCAGCATATTGTCAGACTGACAAAGCAGGGGATAGTTACAGGAGCATTGTTTGAATCAGACTTCCAAGCTGGAACACTCCAGATGTTTTGGACTAGAACTCCTAGGATTCATGATCATTGCTAACGGAACCTGTGACTGATAGGAATTGTAGTCAAAAACATGTATGGGGCACTGGTCTGGGGAATGCTGGGTTAGATAAAAGAGGCAGTATTCAACATAGGAGGTCTGATCAAGGCCTCTTTGAACATATGCATGAAAATAAACATGGTAGAACATATACATGACTAATTACAGAAAAGGATAGAACATATACATAACTAATTATAGACCACTAGCAGTTCTGTGGAATAAAGGAAATAAATTTGGGTCCTTTCACTGTGCCATTTATATACATTGTTTGGTGCATTGTTTTTGTATGTTTTCTCCCTACTAGCCTAATTATGTGGGAGTATAGCATAGACTACAGTTTAGGTCCTTCTGGAAACACTGAAATATAGGAAGCAAATGCATGTCCTCTCCTTGTCTCAGGGGTTTTTGGGCTTCACACGTGTGGTGGGGACATCCTTTTGGTAAATAGGAGCCTTGTTCCCTGCACTGTTTTTGTAAAGGTATATATTACCTTTATATTATATATTTATATATTACATTACAGATTACATATAGCTGATCTTTGCTGATTTTCTTCACTTGTTGCTTTCTTCCTCATGATTTGAGGTGGAATTGAGTAGCAGAACGAGAGGTGGTTTTTTTAGCATCTACTATAGAACAACCAGATTCTGCTATTTGTAGAGCATTCATGAGGATTGTGGTGGTGGTGGTGGTGGTGACGTCGTCATGTCATCGTCATCCTTCTGAGGTCAGTTCTTATTTATTGATAGACACAGTCACTATTTAGTATACCTAGGAGATGGCTGGATCTTCTCAAGAAATATGAAAAAGTTCATCCCAAGTTCAGGTCTCTCATAGGAGAAGGTTTTAATAACTTGCTTCTTCCTGGTGTGGGAATCCATTTCTTGGAACACTGAGTCAATTCAGTGAGAAAGTTACTTTTATAGATTCCATTAGGCCTTCTTCAACATCCTTGCCAGTACCTTTGCAAGAGACATCGGGAAAACTTCTTCCTATGTGAGTTGGAAACATGTGTATGTTCAATAGTAAGAGAAACATTTCCTGTCGGTGAGTGGGAAAAGAAGCTGTTCTCACTATTTCATCTCTACAAAAAGGTGGCAGTTGTGCTCCAGTGTTATATCTTAGTATTAGACTTTTGCCATATACAGCTCCAGATATCTTGTTGCCAGAAACAAAAGAAGAGTAATGCCAAATCAGACCAGAGACCTATCTAGTGCAGCATCTTGTTTCATACAGTAGTCAGACAGATGCCTGTGGAAGTCTTTAAGGAGGACATGAAGGTAACAGAACATTCTTCTTTGTGGTCTGTGTGCATCACATACATGGGCTTTGCAACACAGCATGAGGCCTGAATCAGAGAGAACTTCCACAGCTCAGTGTCATGGAGTGGGCGGGAGCCCTGTCTGTGTATCACACACATGGGTTTTGTGCCTGCATGGAGCCTGTTAAGAAGATTCCACAGCTGAGGGAGTTTTGATTTATATGGTGTATATTAGGATATTTATGGTATTATTAGGTGTGTATTAGGTATTATGAGGTGTGTATGGTATTATTTATGGTGAATATTAGGATATTCATGATATTTATTGGGATATATATGGTGTGTATTAGGATATTCCCCCCCCCCCCCACTCTCAGCATCAGAATATAGGAAAGGTTCCTGCCCATTTCCACTGTTCTTCTTTGAGCACCATTGTGGTGCCTCAGAAGGTTTATCTTGTTTCAGTTCTTGTTCTAGCAACTTGTATTACGCTTATGCATTTTTCCTTGTGATTTCCCCCTTTCCCTACTACCTTTTCTATTTAAAAACAAAAAAAATCCTAGGGAAAGGGCAGAGTTCCCTTTCTGCTTCGTCATTCCTCACCATTTTTTATAAAACATCCTTCTTAAAATGGCACTCACCATTAGTAGAAAAAGCATCCACCTACTGATAGACACTTCTTGTATCTGCTCTGCCTGGGAGAAAGCCATGTTCTGGATTCCTGCCCTCATTGCCAGACCTTCATTAAGTAGGCCTGAAGATCTCGGGCAGACTTCCTAAGAGCTGAGTTATGGAGCAAGGGGCTGCAGGCAGTAGACTCTTCAAAACCTGCTGAATGCCCATTTACCTCAGAGATCCCAGCCTTGCTTCAGCCTGCCTTAGTAACAGCTGTGACCATGAGCCAGCTATGACCATGGGCCAGACTGTGCTGCTCTGCTCACTGAAAGTGCCCAAGGCCAAGAAGTTGGCAAAGAGAGCCAGAGCAGTAAAACTGGTGGAAACCCACTTTGAATTCCAAGTGCCAGAGCATTCTCATATTCTCACTATATCCCCTCGGACTGGAACAGGGACCCACCTCTCCCACCAGCATATTCACATGGCCAAGCACCAAGGCAATGATTGGAGTCGTGGCACTGAGGAGGTGCACATGACTATGCTTTTTCTGTCTGTTACAGGATGCCCACTCCCAGATCAAGGCTCTCCCATTCTGGTAGAATTATTTAAATATATGGTAACAGCAGCTAGAATTATAATAGCATCAAAATGGAAACAGAAGACTATCCAACTAAAGAGGATTGGAAAAATAAGCTAGCTGAATATGCAATAATGGCAAAACTGGCTGAAGAATTTAATGATAAATGGAAAGCTTATTATATACAATTTATTTAATAGAACTTGCAAAAATATTAGTTATAATTTTAGTACGATGTTTTGTTTTTTAAAATCAGTTTAAAAGGAATGGAAAATGTTAGTATTAAGAGTTATAGATTAGAATAATTGCTCTGTAAGTTTCAATTAACTACTAATTAACAGAATGTAGAAGAGATAATAATGACTTTCTGAATTTTAAAAATTTTATACCATATGTAATATTTGTATAAGTTCCCTTGATATCCTTTTTCTTTTTCTTTTATTTATTTTCGATTTATATCCTGCCTTTTTCCTACAAAGGGCTCAAGGCAGCTTACATCTCCTCCTCCATCTTATCCCCACAATAACAACCCTGTGAGGTAGGTTGGGCTGAGAGTCTGTGACTGGCCCAAAGTCTCCCAGTTGGCTCCATGGCCGAGCGGGGACTCGAACCCGGATCGTCTGGGTCCCAGTCCCATGCTCTTAACCACTACACCACACTGCTCTCACTGCATTCTACATTTTTATGACAATCATTAAAAGGGGGGGGGGCGAAGGCTGTACCATTCCATGAGGATGGGCTTTTCAATGCAAAGTTGGATGAGCAAATGGATTCAGTCCAGAAGGCAAGGATAGCCACCCAAAGTATGGTACTGAACCCGCATCTGCTTTTGAGGCCATAAAGACCATCCCATAATGGTACCATGTTAATCAGTCCTCTTATCTACCTTGGGCCCAAATGGACCACTCAGCTTGACAGCAGTAAGTCCTCTATCAGTGGCTCAGAGATGCCACCCAAAGATACTGCTAGGGTGCAGGTGTTCTGATACTGACAGATGCCACTTTTGACTGTCTTGGGGTGGCTCCTCCACCCATACCCTGGTCTTTGACTGGTGTCTCCTTTCCTTTTTTTTTATGGGAAGCAATAACACTAGTTTGTGCCTGTTGTGGAAAGGGGATACAGGATTGAATTTGAAGCCCTCCTATCTCTCTGTATCATAAGAAGTTTGGAACCATCTACAGCCTTGATTTTGGAGCTGGACTTACTGCTTTCCAAGGGTGATATAGAATGAATCTCTCATTTCCATTTCCAAGACACCTTCTACTCCATGCTTTATAGTAGCAAAGTAGGATGGAGCGCTTCAGCTGATCCTCAGCCTCAGAGGCATCAACTCCTTTATCTCATGGGAGAAGTTCTGGATGTTGATGTTGCAAAACATTCTGCCCTTGCTTCATGAAGGAGATTGGTGTGCCTCAATAGATATGAATGACACACACTTTCACATTTCTGTAGAGGACTCAGGCATTTCGTACATTTTCAGGTTGGAGGAAGGTTTTCCACTTTCCTATTTTTCATTTGGACTATCCACAGCCCTAAGAGTCTTCATGAGGTGCATGGCGGTAGTCTGTGCCCACATACACCTGTAAGAAATCCAGATCTACTCTTACCTGGATGGATGGCTGATTGTGGCAGCATCCAAACAAGAGTCACTCTATTCCATCAAAGCTACCTGCACTTAACTGGTAAGTTGGGGCTTTGTATAAACTTAGAAGAATCTTCTCTCTCTCAGTCAATTAGTCAGTCCTCTTCATTGGAGTTTGTCTTGACTGCAGTTCAGTAGAGACATATCTCCCAAAATTCTGGAGTGTCAGTCCTGATCAAAGTGGCCAACAGTTTGTATGGGCACCTGTTCTCACTGCATTCCAGATCCAACAGCTCCTCTGTTTGATGGCAGCAGCAGTCACAGTGATCCCATTGCCCAGGCTCTGGATGCATCCCCTTCAGTTGGGGTTGATCTATGCATTACACCCCACAGACAACCTTTGAAGTACTCAATTTTAGATTCCAAAAACCATCCAGATGAGCCGCAAGTGGTGGACACCTCAGTACAACCTCACCAAGGGGATTCCTTTTACTTTCTCCAAGTCAGCTTTTATGGTGACCCTGAATGCCTCC